GATGACATTCAGGACATCAAGGGTAATATGACGACAGCTCTGATGGCCATTCCAGAAAAAGAGTTCCAAAATTGCTTTGAAGGGTGGACTAGGCACTGGTGTGGGTGCATAGCTTCCCCAGGGGAGCTTCGAAGGTGACCATAGTGATATTCAGCAATGAGGTAGGTAGTGCTTTTTCTAGGACGAGTTCGTGAACTTAATTGTCAGACCTTGCAGTATTCATGACAGCAAAAAAGTGAAAACAATCCAAATGTTCTTTAACTGTCGAATGGATAAACAAAAAGTAGTACATCCACATAATGACACACTGCTTAGCAATAAAAAGTAATGAACTACTCATACATACTACAGCATGAATAAGCCTCAAAAACATTATGCTAAGTGTGAACAGCCAGATGTAAAAGACTATATATTTTTTTGCTATTGTATGAAATGTCAGAAAGGTAAATCTATGATCGAAATCAGGTTAATGTTTGCCTGAGGCTGGGGATGGAAATTGGGTAACACAGCCTAGAAAATTCTGAGATAGAGAAATAAGGAGCCTCTAGCCCTATCAGGTATTAAAATATATTAGAAAATGACAGTAATTAAAACGATGTGCTATTCAAGTAGTACTAAAACACAAGAATAGTCAAACAATTCAATGAAACAGAACAGGAAGTTCAGAAAAAGAACCAATGATGGGTAGCTATCTGGAAACAATAAGAGACTGCATTCCTAGCTCATACTTTATATAAAAATGAATTAAAAATGGATCAAACTTTTAAATAATTAAAAAAATACATTAGAAGAAAGCATGGGAAAGTTTTGTAATATCTTGGAGTGAAGAATGTCTTCCAAGGGCCGGCCGAGTGGCGTGTTGGTTAAGAGCTGGCTTGGGATGCCAGCTCTGAGCAGCAGGGCCCTGGTTCGGATCCCACATGGGGGCCAGTGACACTGCCCTCTACAGCTAAGATGCTGAACAACAGCTCAACCTGGAGCTGGGCTGCCATGAGTAGCCGGCGATGGCGTAGGCTACAGCCTCTGCTGCAGTGGGTTGCCATGGGCTGCTGTATGTAGCCAGCAGCCAGCGTGAGCGGCCAACAGCTCCAGCAGCCGCCGTGAGCGACCGTCCAGAAGCCGGTGACCGATCTGCCTCGCTTGGGAAGAGCGCAATGGTGGTGCCAACTTGGGCCAGTGAGGCAACGTCCTCCACAACTAGACTGAAGAACAAAAGGACAGCAACTTGTCTGTTCCNTGCCGCTGAGCTGCCAACAGGTGGCAGGATGGCTCAGCTGGTGTAACAACAAGACTGCCTGTTTGATGGTGGGCTATGCCCACCCACAACTAAGACTGAACTCGGCACCTTGGGCTGAGCTGCTACCTGGATGGTTCAGTGGATACAGCGTGTTCTCTTAACAACAAGGCTGCTGGTTGAGATGAGATAGTGGCTACGCCCACTCTCAACTAAGATTGGACACAGCACCTTGAGCTTAGAGGCCACGAGCTGCCGTAGGGCAGCCAGATGGCAACTGGCGTCCTCCACAACTAAGATTGAAGGACAACTTGCCTGGTCCCCTTCCCCAATTCCCCAACACTGTTCCCCTCCCCCAATTCCCCAATTTAAATTATATATATACATATATATTTCCATAGAAAGTTTAGGAAAAGAACAGAAAATCCTTCTTAAATGGGGTGAAATGGACATTAAGTCAGAGCAGTGTCATAACAGCTAACTTGTCCAAAGTCCTATAGCCAGAAAGGTACAGAACTGGCGATAGAACTCGGGTCTTCTGGACCTTTTTGTAAACACCAGCTATCTTCAAGCATGGATAAAGTTGAGGTGGACAGTTTTGTCCTCGAAGCCAAATCTTTAATATCATAATTAGAATGACTTGGGTTGGATATTAGAAAATATTTTCCAATTTGCATGGTCATAAAAGGCTACAATGAGTTGATAAATTATGGCTTCTTATATTTAGAGGACATTTTAAAGCAGAGGAGCTGCAAGTTATGGCACAGATGGGGGATACATAGGCCGAATGACTTTTGGCAGGATTCTTCTGCTATCTGATTATATTTTTCACCCCTGAGATTTCTTTACCTTATTATCCTATTGGATCCCAAGGAAACCACACACCTGGAGACCATTAATTGTATTTTTTAAATTTTATGTCCTTGCTTGCATGGACAGGAAAATCTGCAAAATCCAGGGACTAGCACAAGATGACATGATTTTGATGTGAGTGGGATGAAGATAATGTTAGGGCTCTGTGAGGATATGGAGAGGGGAGCTGTGGATGTGAGAAAAAAGGGAGGGGCACGAGGTCTGGGCTCACTGCTGGAACAGGGGGAAAGCAGTGGGGGGCACCATCACAGGTTCACCATCAGCCAGTCCAGCAGCTGCAGCCGTGTAACATTTCCCACTGCCGCATCCAGCTGTCGCTCCTTCTCATAGCGCAGCACTGCCTGTAGAACCTTGCCTACGTTGTGTCCTTTTTCCACGGCGACAGCTGAGAGCTGGAGTAGCTGTGGAAAGGAAAGGAAAGGAAACAGTAATGAATGTCCCACAGCAGGCTAGAAAGGTCCTGCTAAGGCTAGAACAAAGAGCACAGTTAGACTTTGAGAAACGTTTGCAGACGGGACTCCAATTAGATATTGAGAAGTCTTCCTTATTGTAAAGTTTGCTGGCCTGTTTGACAGAAGAAAGTTGATTATATAACCCTTAATTTAAAGAAGAAATGTTAAGATCCATCTGTCCATGATATGGAAAAAATGATTTCCCACAAAGACTAAAATCTTCCTGCTTCTAGTAGGTGTTTGGTCAATGGTGTTCTTCCTCTCTAAGAATTCTAATGTTAAGTTCACTGGAAATTCACAAAACAGTCCCCATCATTGTCCCAAGACCAACAAGGGCAGGAGAGAAATGTGTCAAAGAACAAATGTGGATGCCCCGTACCAGAGACCCCTAGAATGTTAAAGCAGGAATGCAACCATTCAACACTCATGAAAATGTTTCCCAGGGCAGTAAAGAGACTTGTCAGTAATACAGCGCTAGAAATTAGCAGAGGCAAAATTCACATCCAGGCCTCTAAACCTTATGCCCTATGATTAATTCTCTTTCTATGCATAAAGTGAGAAAAATTATCCAAAGCAACCATTCTAATATGAACATAGTACCTTACCATTCATCTGGAATTTTAGCAGCAACAAACTAAAGTAACCCAATTTTTATTCTGTATATCCTGACTCTATGATTGAAAGTCAAAGGGCAAATAAACAGGCCAAATATCAGGAGCTTTTTCAGGTGGGGAAATTTCCATGTGAGATACATACAAATACCATTGAAAAAATGGAAAGACAGAAAGTCTTGGCAAACAGAATATATAAAGAAAAACAAAATGGAAATTTTAGCGTTAAAAAAAAAAAATCCAAAATGAAAACCTATTGGATGGGCAGAATGGAGATGATCAAGGAAAGTTGGTAAACTTGAAGATATTGGGTTGTCGGAAAAGTCATGACGTATTTTTTCTTTCTTTTGTTGCAAAAATGCATCATGACTTTTCCAACAATCCAATAGATCAATAGAAATTAGCCACACTGTACAATACAGGCTTGATTAAACTTCTTTCCAAAAAGATTGGCTCAGGGCCCGTGGGACGATATCAAAAGGTTTTATATTTATGTCATTAGAATCCTAGAAGGAGAGGAAAAAAAGGTTGTGCCGAAAAACATACTTGAAGACATAATGGATGAAAATTTTGCCAATTTGCCAAAAGACATAACTGACAAATTTAAGAAGCTCAATGAATGTAAAATAAGATAAACCCAAAGAAATTCACTTTAAGACATGAGGGGGTGGTAGATGAAGGTAATGGGGGTCAAATATATGGTGATGAAAGGAGAACTGACTCTGGGTGATGAACACACAATGTGATATATAGAAGATGTATTACAGAATTGTACACTTGAAACCTATGTAATTTTGCTAACCATTGTCACCTGAATAAATTAAAAAACCCGAAAAACAAAAAATATCAAAAGTAGCCAGAGAAAATGACACCTTATTTACAGGGGAACAACAATTTGAATGACAATAGATTTCTCATCAGAAACCAGAGAGGCCAGAGGAAATGGCAATAAAACATTTTGCAAGCACGAAAACGAACTGTCAAACCAAAATTTTATATGCAGCAAAAATATACTTCAGGAATAAAGGTCAAATAAAGAAAATTTCAAATTAAAGAAACCTAAGAGAATTTATTGCCAGCAAATGTGTTCTAGTTGGACAAACGAAAGGAAAATAATATCAGAAGGAAATAGGAACATTAGGAATAAATGAAAAGAAAGAAAAAAAAAGAAAAACAACAGAAACAGTAAAAAACCTCAGTAAAAAACTATTCTCAGTTCTTTAAAATGTTTTATGATTGAAAGCAAAAATAACATTGTCTAAGAGTTTTTTTCAATGTATGTAGTAGAGTAAATACGTGAAATAACTACAACATAAGTGGGAGGCGTAAAGGGGCCTAAATGGTAGTAAGATTTCTATGTTCCAGTTTGAGTGGCAATTATTTATTCTTCATAGACGCTTTTCAAAGTGAATTATGTACATTGTAATCCCTAGAGAAATCACTAAAATAAACTACACAAAGGATATAGTGAAAAACACAACAGATAAATTCAAATGGAATACTAAAAAATGTTTAATCCAAAAGGCAGCAAGAGAAAAACAGGAAGGAAAAATGAAGAGAATAAAGAGCACTAATATTAAAATAGTAGACCTAAACCCCAACATATCAATAATTAGACTAAATGTAAATGGTCTAAACACACCAACTGTCAGAATGGATTAAAAACAAAACAAAAAAAACATCTAACTACATGTGGAGAAACTGAAACTTACATAAATAATTGGTTGGAATATAAAATGGTACAAATATTTTAGAAAATAGTTTGGCAGTTTTTAAAGATATACATACTATAAGATGCAGTAATTCCACTCCTTGTTACCCAAGAGAAATAAAAAATATGTGCATACAAAGACTTGTATGTGAATGTTCATAGTATGAAGTCTGATAATTACGTTTGTGAACTTTGTTGCAACGATGTTGCTAAACTTTTTCGATATCAGCGGGATTATTCATTATGAATTTATATCAACTGGACAAACAGCTAACCAAGTTCACTATTTGGAAGTGCTGAAAAGGCTGCGTGAACAAGTTAAATGAACTAAACTTTTCGCCAACAATTCATGGCTCTTGCATCACAACAATGCACCAGTTTGCCCGGCACTGTCTGTGAGGGAGTTTTTAGTCAGCAAATAACCGTATTGGCACACCCTCCCTACTCACCTGATCTGGCCCCCTGTGACTTGTTTTGTTACCCAAAGATAAAGAAAATATTGAAAGGAAGACATTTTGATGACATTCAGGACATCAAGGGTAATATGACGACAGCTCTGATGGCCATTCCAGAAAAAGAGTTCCAAAAT